ACAGCCTTTCGCACTCGCTATAGCTATTTCGAGTACTTAGTTATGCCATTTAGGCTAGCTAATGCCCCTGTAACATTCTAGTCCTATATCAATCGGGCCCTTTCGGGCCTATTAGACTATCTCTGTATAGTTTACCTAGATAATATCCTAGTCTATACCCATTTACCTAACATTGCAGAGCACTAGGCTATAGTGCGTAAGGTGCTCGACCGCCTGCAGGCCTATAGCCTATATTGCAAGCCTTCTAAATGCACCTTTGCTACTAAAGAGGTGTCCTTCCTTAGCTTCCTCGTATCGACTAAGGGCGTCAAGGCTAATCCTAACCGGATTAAGACTATTACTAAGTGGCTAATACCTACTAGCATTAAGGAACTTTAGTCGTTCCTCGGCTTCGCTAATTTCTATCGTCGCTTTATTAAGGGCTATTTACGGTATATAATGCCTATAACTAAGCTCACTAAAACCAAGGCCAACCTAACTAGAGAGTTTAAATGGACTAACAGAGTATAAGCCGCTTTTAACGGCCTAAAGCAACGCTTCACTAATGTCCCCTTATTGTACTATTTCGTACTAAGCAAGCAGATCCGAATTGAGACTAACGCTTCACAGTTCGCTGTATCGGCTATTATATTACAGCAATCAGATAATAACTATTACTAGCACCCGATTACCTTCTTTTTACGAAAGATAATCGATGTAGAACGTCGATATAAGACCTACAAGCAAGAGCTCTTAGCAATCGTAGAAGCCTTCAAGCATTGGCGCTACTATCTTAATAGTGCTTAGCACACAATTCAGGTCTATACGGACTATAACAACCTCCGTAGCATTACTAAGGTTACTAGGGTTATAGGTCGATAGGCTAGATAGGCCGTCTACCTCGCCGGGTTTGATTTTAATGTGTTATACCGGCTAGGCGTAAGTAACCCTACCGATAGCCTATCGAGGCGACCTAATTACGATAGCGAGACCTAATACATCAATTCTTTGTTTCCAACCCTATAGTATAAGATTGCTATAGCCCGTATGTTAATAAGCAAGCGTA